TATTAATTAAAGTAAATTATATTTCTATATTATTTGTATAAGTGTTTAATAATAGTATTGTTAATAATAAAACTCTAACATTAAATCGCATGAGTCATTCATTTACTTGTTTATAGTACAATGCCGGGCAAACAAATAGGAACGCGGCTATTTTTTTTTGTTTCTTTAATACTAAATTTTTTTTATAGAAGTATAGCTCACTATCTCTAACAAAAAGCATGTAAGTCAAATTTTTTGAACTTTGTATAAGTTTTATATAAAAATTCGACGAATTTCAGCAAATTTTCATCAAATCTTCAAACTTTGTATTCTTGACTTCAAATTGTGTACAAAAATTAGGAAAACTTGACAAAGTTTCATCAAAATTTCAAACTTTTTAATAAGAGTTTTTTAGAAGAAATTCCAGATATGCAGGTTGTAGCCCATTTTTGATTATGGGATTTTTTTGCTGACGGTGTAAAGTGTAAGTGTAAAATTCGCACATACACGATTTTTTAGTGAGCCATACTTTCATAAAGAAATTCCAAACATTAAATAAACAAAAGAAAAATAGCCAAAACTTGTTAAAATGTTGTGTTCCTATTTGTTTGCCCGCCACTGTACATACGTATATCCTCATTGCCTTATTTTCAGTTTTGTTTTTTTTGTACATCTTTTTGTTTTCTAATGTAACTGAGAGACGTCATTAATATTGCCTAGCTTTAGCATGATTACGTAAAAAATGTTAAAACAATGAAGTGTCATTTGAAAAAATTGGAAAAAATTACCTTCATTTGGTGTTAAATACAAGCGCTTTGTTTTTTTTTTTTGTAGCAGATGTTTTGAGATACATACTTTAATTTTTGTATTTTCTTGTTTGTATTTATTTCTAGTTATACATTTTGCTTTGGCTCGTTGTTTGGTGGGCGTGACTGATTAGGCGAAAGTGGTGAAAGTGAACAGCTCTTGTCAATGCATATATTTTAAATGACCATAATTTTGACTTTTTTTTAAATACATTCATTACGAAATTCCTACTTATAAATCAATGGTTTGAGTTTTGGAATGGGTTTACTCAAATTTATATTACTGAGTTAGTCAATGTACTTGAGAATTAAAAAAATAAGTGTTTAAGTTGGTTTTACTAAATAGCTTTGTTCGCTAACGCATTTAAAAAAGGGATATCATTGTAAATACTTTTATTATTGTATTGTATGTTGGCAGATAGCTATTAAAATATTTTGAAAAAATTTAAATATACACATCTTTTAGGCGCGATAAATTCCATGGTATTTTAGGGAGTAAATTTCAGCGATACTAGGCTTAAAAAAAAAGAAAGCAAGTTTATGTAAACGTGATAATAAGCTAGTCTCGAAACTTTCAAATATTATTCCAGCATACCCAAATTTTCCTATACTTTCAATTTCGGATTTTCGGATTTGAATGTTTAATTTAAAAATTTTTTTTTTTAGGCTTTAAAAAATTTTATTTTTTTTGCGTTTTTGTTTTATATTATTATTTTATTAATGGCTGATATTCTTTCTTTGCAGCGGCAATCAAGAAGAAGATATTCCTTTTCATCCGCATGACACTAATAAACAGGCGTTTTACCTTGTGTACAGTGGTGGACTACTAAGCTTTTTTTAACGTTATAATGATTTATTCTTTTATAGAACATTTTTTTCTCTCAATAAGAGTTTCGCTTGCTTTGTAAGGTAGAGTGCAGTTTTACAAGTCAGTGACTTTTTTAAAATTCCCATATGTGACCTGGTCTACGAAAAGGGAGCTTACGTGCGAAAACTAGTTTTCTGTGAAAAAGCTGTTAAAAGTAAGCAACTCGTTTCGTCAGTTTCTCATTATCTCGTTAATTGTTCTCCGCGCCGGACGTCCAGTAAGTGTTGTTGTTGGTCCAGTAAGTGTTGTCGTTGGTCCAGTAAGTGTTGTTGTTGGTCGGAATATTATTATAGTTCATCGTGTAAGTTGCTAGTGTGGAACATTTAAAAATAAATATATTTTGTCGTATTTTTACTCTTCTTTCTCTACATTTTTAGTACACTTCTAAGCAAGTTAGGATTTTCTGCTTTTCACCACGTGAAAAAGCATCTCATCTTCCATCCGAATCAACCAAAAAGTGAAAATTGATTTTTTGACACCTAAGCCCCCTTTCCGTAGACCAGGTCACATATAGTAATTTAAAATGCAACGCTGTGCCCGTCAAAAAGACCTGTTAATAGACTACTGTCACATTTTGTGCAAGCTGCGGCTCTATTAGTTTGTGTTTGAGTGCTATTGAAAGCAGAAAACCTAATCAATTTCGACGGAAGTGTAAAGGAGTGAATTTCGTTCACAATCCAAAAGATAGCTTGGGTTACGAAATGCTAACGCGCTGAGCATTTTCCCTTGACTCAACTATTTTGAGTTTTCAAACTTGAAGATAAGGATCAACGGCAAGACACTTGCGTCGAATGAAGAGCTTATCACTGAAACAAATATCGTTTAGGAACTTGAAAAAATCGTTTATAAGAAAGGCATAAAATAATTGAAAAAACAACTTAGACTAATTGTGTCGAGCAATAAATGAATTTTTAAAAATAAGAGGCTTTCTTGACAAAACCAAACAAAAAAAACTATTCACTTCTTCACTATTTACTTATCTGAAGTGGGATACTGAAAATCGCTGTAGCTAATTTTGATCGTCAAAAATCCACGTGCAATATGAAATCACAGAATAACTTTTTCTTGTTGTAAATTCTTAGGCGCCTCACCACAGATTTTTATTGAGAGAATTTCGGCGACGAAAATTTTGTGTAGAAAATAGAATTTTGAAGTATCAGCAACTAAGACTTGAGTGTAAATAACCAGAAGAAACAGTTGAAAAAAGAAATAAATTACCTCAATCAAAATTCGTGCGGTAACCATTAAAATTGAGTTGCCAATATAGCTATTCAGTTGCCAGCTTTCAGTTGCCAGTTGCCATCTACATATACTTAATACCAATTCAGCCACTGGCATCCCGTAATCGACCCATAAAAATCATAAAATAACTGTAAAATTGATTGGTTATTTTCTACAGCGCAATGAACTTATAAACAACGCAATTATAGATTTAGAGACACTACTACACACTGGCCAAATATACTTTTAAACGAATAGATTAAACATAATAAAAAACCGACTAGGGTTGCCAGACCTAAAATGTCGAAAGTGGTACAGATAAGAAGAAATTGGGGGACTTGGGGGTACAACCGAGAAATAAAGAGGTATTTTTCGGGGGAGAAATAAAACTAAGTGTATTCAACAAAAAATTGGTTTATGCGCTTAACAAAACAAAGTTACACTGGCGATCAAAACTGAGTGCATGGTGATTTTATTTTAAATATTTACAATGTTGTTTTGTTATTTTTGTAAAAATATGTTTCACTCTTTATCCAATACCGTAAAACTAATTCAAATTTCCATCAGCATTTTGGACTTTTTAATCTGCATGTACATAAAAAATTTACATATACATATGTATGTATACATGTTCAGCCTTAAATATGGCACAAGAATATTTTCAAACAAAAATTGTATGTACTTTTCTTTAAACTTTTGATTCAACTAATCGCCTGTGAAATTTGAACAATGCAAACACGCTTTAAGCGAAAAGGGAACGATTTCGGGCGAAAATGGGGGACCTACGCAACCTTCCATAGCAATGGGGATAAAAAGTCAAAATGGGGTACGTCTGGCAACCCTATATCTGACTCGAGAGTCATACGCACCGTTCATGCCGCCTATTACGAAGAAAAGTATTACAAGGCATTGCTCAATACTGTTTGAATGCTTACTTTTCTTTTCACAATACAGTTACTGTTTCAACTGCAGCTACAGAGGACATAACATGCGACATTACTACATTGCAAAAGGAATAAAAAAATAAAAACTGATTTGTTTTTTGTTTTCCATTTTGTTTAATTTTCTTATTAAGTTGTTTTTTTGTTTATCTATTTCAAAGAGACTTAAAATAAATGTATGCATTTGCTTGGTTAACATGTTTTTTCTGTTATTTTTCATCTTCATTTGCTTGATGCTGCCACACGCGTTTGCAAAGCATTTACCAAAAATCAAATACATATGTATGTATGCAAAAATTTACTAATATACAGCAAAAAAAGATAATAAAAATAATTAATATGAATGTTTTGAATGGCGACTTAAAAGTTAGAAGGGTTCATTGCTTAAAATTATAAAATTTGCCAATATTCCAAATGCGCTTAAATTTACAACAATTGAATTGAATTCAAATTTTACATTAATCATATTTTTCGCTGTGTGCGTTTCATGTGATGGTATGTTTATATATGTATATTGGTTGTTGTTACTATTTGTTACTATTGCTGTTGTTGCTGCGCCTATATTGGTGGCAACAGTTGCTGACTTCCTCCCTCCGTGCTGCCATGCAATTTCCATTGGCCATTCAGCGCTCTTTGGTTGGCTGATTACTGATTGTTGTTGTTGCTACTTTGGCGACTGTGGTGTATTTAATGCTGCCAAATATGCTTTGAATGCTACGGTTGTGCTTGCAACATTTATTGTTGTTGGTAATATTGGTTTAAATATTATTGCCGGTGTTGTTATTGTTGTTCATGGAAAGGCTCATGCGCTGCTTCACTATGCTGCCGCTTCGTTCACCCACTACAACGCCCAATCAATTTCGGACAGCCGCGTTAGCTGCGATTCTAACATTTTGCAGCTAGTTTTTGTTATTATCGCTGTTTTTTTTTGCTATTTCTTATTGCTGCTGCTGCTGGCCAGCACCCAACCGCCCAGCCCGACATTGGCATTGGCCTTCTTCTGGCTCTGACTGGCGTTGTTTGTTGGCTGGTTTGTGTGTAGTGTAGATTCGTATGTCACAACGACATCCGAGTGTTGCAATGGCCAGTCGTTGTTGCTATTGCTGCGCAGATATGTGAAGTTGTGGCCTGTGCTTGTCGCGTCGCGTCGCGTCGTCGTAATCCTGCTTAACATATATGTACATATTTTTATACATATACATACATATGTATGTACGCAAGCTACGCTTAGATTTTTTCTGCTCTCTCGTTTTACACTCTTTTAATATCTTATTCTCATTTTCATAATCCCATTTTTTTTAAATATTTTTTTTTCTTTGCATTCTTTTTTTGCTTGTTTTTATTTATTAGGTAGGATTGTAGTATGCATGTATGTATGTATGTACTCGTATGTACTATGTAAGTTGTTGGTTTAAGTTTACGTAGTAGGTAGTATGCGTGTGTGTGAGCGTATATATATACTATATGTATTTGTGTATTTAAATGTAATTCAAATTCATATAATTAGCTTAACCATAAACCGATATTATAACTCCATATCTCGGGCCTCGTCTTCACTATAGTCCGACATGCTAGACTCGCTGTCGCTGCTCTCGCGTTCTTGTTGCGCCGCACGCAACGCCTCCTCGGTGGCATAGCGTTGCACATAGTCAGCCACTTTGCGATGATATTCCTCCGGTTCGTGCAAGTACAACGCCGCTGCGTCACGATTCAGCGGATCCACTGGATTCGGATATGTCAGCAATTGTGGTAGAAATGATTCGAAAATATTTGAGAGATCATACAGCGCTGTCCATGCCTGATTGATCACGTCCAAGCACACAGTGCCAGACGATTCGTCGATGTTCGGATGGTAGATTTTATTCACGAACCCTATGCTTGGCGATTTGAATGGATAATTGTCGGGCAGGTAGACACGCACCTTCCATACGCCACCCTCGTACGGTGTCCCATGCGGTCCGAAGAATTTTACATGGAATTCATTGAGGCCACCCAATATGGTGACTTCGTGCTTGGATTCGATGAGTTTGATGACGTCATTGTCCATGCGACGTTTGCCAGCGCTGGGGGATGACATTTTACGTCCTTATTTAGCTTCTTGCTCTACTCTACAGCGAATGTCAAGGATGCGACGTATGCAATTCGTATGGGAGCTTATGGCTGCCAAGTGTTCGTTTCGTCGGTATGCTGCTGAGAGAGAGAGAGAGAGAGTTGGAGCCAGCAAACAACAAGCACGCTGCCTGGCTGCACGCCCGTTTGCTTGAAAGTATCTACTTATGTATGTATGTATGTATGTAGCAGGCTGCGTATGCACTATGCAATGAGAAATCGGTGCGTTGTGTTGGTGTCCCGACAAAACAACAGCGCTTGCAACCAATTTCTCAGGACGTGCCCCCTCAAATATGCTTCGCCGTCTTAATGAATTCTTTAAATATCTTCAAGGCTGAAACTGCAAGGAAAAAGAAGGAGAATTGTTGATTTATTGAAGCAAAAATGTTGAACTTTTGTCAAGAGAAATTTCGAAAATATTAAAATAATATAGTGATAAACGAAAGGAAGCAAAGAAAAACGGAATAGTTTGGGATAAAAAGAACAGTGCTTTGAGGGGAGGGAAAAAGTGGTGAATTCAAATGGGCAGTGAACTATAAAGAAATGAAGAAACTAAAATCATAAACTAAATTAATGAATAAATATAAAGTAATAACCTCTAATACTAGCATTTCATACTAAGACTGAGAGAATTGTCAATTTGGGTCAGTAAAATTCCTTATAAGTTCACCATTTCTGGATTTCTAGCTCTAATTGCCAAAGTGAGGTATAATCGAATTTTTTGTTTGTAAAAGGTCCGTTTTAGCTACTTTGTGATCATATGTAAGGAGGATAAGGCCTGTGCCAATCAGTAGCAAAGTTCTATGGTGCAAAAACTGTTCCAATATGTTGAGAAAATTTTACATTTCCAATTCTGCCAAAATTTCTTGTGGTAGAATATCCACATTTGGTGGGTAGATATTCGGATTTTTTAATTACATAGATATTCAAATATACGGATATAAAAAAAATCCGGATAGAACTTCCTGCTCTAGGTAAAATCCTAAAAGATTTGAAAATTCAAAAAGACGGACTATCAAATATGTACATATCCGTCCGAGTTTGCATGTGCGTATTTAAATTTGCATTTTTATTTTTTTATTTTTTTTCAATGTAAATGTAAACATTACACATTTGTGGCAAATGGTGGTATCAAACATCAAACATACCAACACATACACGCGCAAACTGATGTCATCCACTTGGAAATCGGGTCAACAACAAATGAGGGCAACAACAACAACCCAAAAACGAGGCCAACTCTGCAGCATTCACTTGAAAGCAAAAATTTCTACGTAGTTGCAGAAGTACTATGTATGCATGTAAATATGTATTTGAGTTGTAATTACCCTGCAGAAAAAAATTATCAAATGATAAAAAATAACCAACTTGTAGTTAGGTTTCTTGATAAGTACCTAATTTTTAATTAGCTATGGCAAAATTAACTTTAAGTGAGTTGCAAATTCGTGCAGGAGTCATGCAGGCGCTATCGGGAGTTGGTTTTCTTTAAACAAGCATCCATTTAAATATCCTCATACAAAAATTTCTTTGAATACACTTTTTTTCTGCACTTTGCAGATGCTTTCTAGAATTCAGGACAAATAAAATAAATCTCGAAATTTTATAATACCATTTTGATGTTATGTCCGCTGGAATTCATATATGATACCACATACAAAAGGCGTGTAAAAAAATATGTAAATATGTAATGTGAAATAAAGTAAATAAATGAAAATGTAAAAAATTTAAAAAAATCTTTTTTATAGATATTTTATGTCCAAAAGAAGTTAGCTACAAGTTAGTTG